AGATCGCCGCCTAAGATTATTGGCCTTAAGGGACCGTTTCTCCACTACCAGGTCCATTGCAAATGAATGGTTTGCAGAACACGGAAGACCCATTGGCATGCGAAGTGTTTACCGACGAATGAGAAGTTTTGGCTTGTTTTCATACCGGCCACACTGGGTCCTCCCTTTAACTCGAGAACACCGACGTAATCGCCTTGAGTGGTGTAGACAACGGTCACTCTGGGATCAGGAATGGAACAGTATTGTCTTTAGTGACGAGTCTCGATTTTGTTTAGGCATGCACGATGGTCGTGCCAGGGTTAGAAGGCGACGTGGTGAAAGGAGGAATCCACAGTTTTTTGTTGAAAGACATGTTCATCACACTGTTGGAGTTATGGTTTGGGGTGGTATAGCTTATGGTTCCAGGTCACCTTTAATCTTCATCAGAGGTAACATAAATGCGCAGCGTTATATCCACGAAGTTCTAGAACCCCATATTTTACCCTATCTTGACACCCTGGCAGATCCAACTTTCCAACAAGATAATACCCGACCACATGTTGCAAGAGTCACAATAGACTTCTTTCAACATAATGATGTCACATTGTTACCATGGCCACCAAGATCTCCCGACTTATCCCCAATTGAGCACGTGTGGGATATGATGGGTAGGAGATTGCTCAATTTGCAACGTCCTCCTCAGACTCTAGAAGCACTTCGAGAGGAGTTGGTGGTTGCCTGGAATGATATACCACAGGAGGACATTGACCACCTGATCAGAAGCATGCCTAGGCGTGTTGGAGAATGCGTAGCACATCAGGGTTCATCCACACATTATTAAAGGTCAAAGGGCTTTAAAGCAGTGCAATCATTTTGAAATTTTTATCATTTACTTATTATGCTTCATTAAGTACTTATACAAAATTTTATTAAAATAAAACCATTTAAACTGGGTGTTCGGATTTATATGTCAGTATATTTTGATCTTTTGAGTATCAATCAACTGGAACAATATAAACAAATTTGAGGTTAAGCTAGACACTAAGTAAGAATATCTTAAGGGCAATGGTTAATTGTTCAAACGTGTTCGTAGTTGAAGAATCATCTTCAGTCAATAGAAAGTATATTGAGATCAGGATATTATAAGTCAAAAGATGTTGGATACAGATTTCCATTCTACCAGTCACTGTGCTGTAGTGATCTTCATCAAGGGAGAAATGACCTAACCCTTACGTTTTATACGTCAAGGCAATACAGGGTTATCCAAATTAAGTGTCCACCATTAGTAACTTTGTTATTAGTGAAAATACAAAGTTGTTTGAATTAGCAAACTAGTAGCATTTTTAACGCTGGTAAAAATGAGAAATAAAAAAAACAATTGAGAGTGGTTATTTTGATTTTTTTCAGTAAAATAACATTTTTTTAAATGGAAACCCCTGTATATTATATTTTTTTCTGTTAAAGCATCAAATTTTAAACAAAAAAGCTTACAATAACTTTTCTCCTAGGTTACAAATTGTTGAAGTTATGGCCTCCAATCTGAAACAATTAAATTGTATCGACAAACTTTATTTTCAACATCAACTTATAATCTTACAAAATACAATAACAATTTTTTTTAAAGAAGATGCTCGAAAACACCACCTTGTTCTTCATACATTTTTGGGCACGTTTTTCAACTGCTCGAACTGTCTTAAGTATGGTCCTACCATCTATCTGGGTTATCTTTTCCCTAACTGCAGTCTTTAACGCGTCAAGGTTATCGTACCTTCGCTTGTAAATTTGGTTCTTTAAGTAACCCCACAAGAAGTAATCAAGTGGGTTTAGATCTGGTGATCTGGGAGGCCACTGTATTGGGCCATTTGTTCCTATCCACTGATCATTAAAAGTAGTACTTAGAAAATGATAAGTACCTCTGGAGTTGTGGGCAGGTGCGACATCTTGCTGAAAATGCAGGTGATGTCTACTTATAAGATCCAATTCGTCTAAGAAATTAGTCAGAATTTCTGACATAAATTCCACATATCTTTCACCAGTTAGGGTTCCCTCATAAAAGAACGGGCCAACAATTTTTGAACCAATTATACCGCACCAAACGTTGAAACTGAAACGGACTTGTGGGCCTCTTGGATGTACTAACAAAAGATTTTCTCTTGACCAATAATGGTGGTTTTTTCTATTAAACATTCCAGAATTTGAAAAATTTGATTCATCTGTCCATAAAAGGTAACGAAAGTTATTTACATTCTGGCGACAGAAGCTAAGATACCAATGGCAAAAAACAAGTCTTCTCTCTGGATCCCCTGCCAAAAGCGTTTGAACTGGTCGGTACTTATACGGAATAAATTTGTATTTTTTTTAAAATCCTTTGAACAGTACCATAACTGAAATTAGAGTCCTTGAGAATATCTGCTATTGAATTCTCACGATAAGCTTCAAAATATCCAATAACTGCAATTTCCGTGGCCTCGCTTATTATGAATTCTTTTTTTGCCCTTGTTTTAGCAAAAACATTTTCGTTGCCCCTAAATTTTCGATAAAGTCTCAGAAAATATCGTTCATACGGTTGAATGCGAGCGGGATATAATTCACTGTAGTATTCTCTTGCTCTCAAGGAGGATTTTCTGCACACTAAATAGCATTCTAACATATCACACTTTTCTTCATGGGAGAACATTTTTCTTTAAATTAATGACACAATAAAGCTTATAAACAAGTATTTACACTAATGTTTGACATTATTTGATTTTATCATTGTTTTCCAAAGCCTTCTAGTTGCGAGTATGTCCAGTTTAACAATTTGTCGCTTATCTTAATGCTGTCAAATCGCGAACGCCATGTTGTTTTCATAGCCGTCTTAATATTATAATACTGCAAATAATTAAAAATATTTATCGTTATTTTGACTTTATTTTTGACTTTAGCGGAAAAGTCATTATGAACTTTTTTGTTTAAAATTTGATGCTTTAACAGAAAAAAATATAATATACTGGGGTTTCCATTTAAAAAAATGTTATTTTACTGAAAAAAATCAAAATAACGACTGTCAATTGTTTTTTTTTATTTCTCATTTTTACCAGCGTTAAAAATGCTACTAGTTTGCTAATTCAAACAACTTTGTATTTTCACTAATAACAAAGTTACTAATGGTGGACACTTAATTTGGATAACCCTGTATAATTGATTCATTTTTTTGTGTATATATAAGATTCTGAATATATTTTAACCAAGGACCCGAATGTATCATGGATCTTTTTTATTTTAAAACACATCAAAGATAAAGACAAAACTAGCATATCTTCTAAACACCTGCATGGAAAGAGGGATGTTACCGACCCAGTTAAAAAAGGCATTAACAAAACCTGATTCAAATTTCGAGATAAACAGAAAAACCTCGTAATTATCGCCCAATTTCAGTATTGACAAACTTTTCAAAAATATTCGAAAAAATTTCCAGAAAGCAACGTGAACTCAAGATGCACTTATTCAGTTAACAACCAACATTTACAAATTCACTGATAGTAATAAGTCAACAGCTTGCCTTTTTGTAGACGTTGCCAAAGCGTTCGATATCATTAGGCATCAAACATTATTTGAAACCTTGGAAAATTTAGGATTTCTTGGAACACTTATCAAGTCATGAAAACTTATTTGAAACACAGGAAACACTGTGTGAACATTAACAGTACACAAAGTTAAAATATGACAGTTAGATGCGGGGTTCTACAGGGAACCGTATTAGGACCAGTGCTGTTTAATTTCGATATTAATGACGTTAATGAAGTTAAAAAACGATGGAGACATTATCGGTTTCGCATACGATACGGCAATTATTTACTCAGACAAAGATTGGCTTCTTTAACAAACAAAATTGTATTAGGTTTTCATAAACTTACACATTTTTTGACGGAAAGTATTTTAACAGTCAATTTCTAGAAAACATATTTTATTATATTTTCTAGCGACAACAGATCTTCCTCAAATTTTAATCAACTCGAAATTAAAACGTTGAATAGCTGCAAAAGATACAATCGGTTGATGATTTCAAATATTTAGGGGTATTCGTAGATAATCATCTAAGATGGAATAACCCGTTAAAAAGAAAGAAAGAAGAATAAGATTCCATATTCCAAAAATCAAACATTTCAGCAGTCTTTTAAGCGAAAAATATCTACACACGATATATCATGCCTTTGTTCAGTCATTACTATCTTGTGGATGTTTAGCTCAAGAATTTGAAGGTTAAGTTATCAAAAACACATAATAATAATAATTAATAATTAACGTCTCTTATTTGTAATATTATTACAGGAGGCGAGATTTAGATAATATATCTATTCTACCATCTAACACCCTTAACAATACTAGATGTAAAAAAATACAGGATTTGTAAAAAATTAATGCCTGTATACAATAACGACAGAATAAGGTATAATCTAAGTAAGGCATAAGGAAAATATGAGGCCACTTATGGGTTACATCAGATTTCGCTGCTGATCAAGTAGAAGTTCTTTAACTTTTTCCTTTAATTTGGGTAATGGATTGGTTTCTTTCTAAATGCGGTCTCAAGAATTATACGATTTGATCGCATTGTAAATACATGTATTCTAAATGTTATCCCACAGAAAATGTTTACAGTTATTCTCAGCTTTTCGACTGCCGGCAAATATAGGATAGATATTATTTATCTTAAATCCACTAGGGCTACAAAGCTTAAAGACATTAAAAATCAATATATTATTTGGTAATAAATTGATGTAAATTCATACGTTTGACTAGTATACTTATAGGAAATTTGTTGTATCGATATAATTCAAGTTCGGTTAGAACCCGAGCACAAGTGTACACTTGTTTGAGTATATTATGTTTATTGGGCACTGCCGTTATTATTTATACGAAAACTTTGTAGTTAGACCAATAAACATTATTATTATTATTAATTAGAATATACAACAAAGCTACAACAATTCAATAAAGAGTCCTTTTTCAGTATGTACAATCAATCCCTTACAGATCCTTACCCCCTATAAATCCCAAACTCTTCCTGCTTCGCCAAACGAGAAGTCCCAAAAAGTAGTACTGCCCAAGTTTCACACCGATCACTATATCGTAAGCACTGTCACAAGTATTCGAGTACCATCATCACAGTTGTCGTGAGTTATGTTTTTTATACCGTGGTTATCATCATGCGGTGATGAGTAGCACCCGGTTTATCGCCTCAAGAACGTACCGCTGGCTTACCGGTAAGCTGAGGACTTGCAGAGTACTTCTTCCTCGCCGGTTGGTTGGTAACCGTTCACCGGTTTCGCGGCGAGGTACCGCGTCGCCCCTCTCGAGGATCTTTAGTAACGTCATAGTAGTGAGTTGTTCTTATTGTAGACTATTTGATAACGCTGAAAGGTCACGCGAAACCTCAAATAGAAACTGCATCAGTGCTACCTTAGGTACTATCCTCGCTTTTTTTACATTAGTTTTTTTTGTGACACTATGTAATTTTTTCTGAATGATATCCTTTACCTAATTCTGTTGTAATTTGGCGATGGTATTTATAACATTAAGGAGCTAATTAAGCCTTAAATTGATTAAATGTATTAAGTTCAGCGGCCCCCGCTCAGTCGTCCGGAGTGCCACGTCGCGGATGCACGCCGTTTTCGAGCAGTGACACGTGATTTGTTTTCTTATCATGTAAGTAATATTTTCATATTGCATATTTTTCCATCTTATACATTTTATGTTAACCATTTGCCTATTAGTCAGACTTTTTCGTGAGTGCATATTGATAATATTCCATGTATCATTTCTCAAGTTGATGCCATTGAAACTTAAAATGACGTCTGGGGTTGGTAGACTAACTTCTTTCGGAGCTGGTTGAATAGTTAGTCAACCAACCCCAATATAATTTGAAGTTTGAAATATCTCGTAAATTAACCTTTTATTCGTGTTTTAATATTCATTTTGTTACAGTACAATGAGGACCTAGTCAACGCCAAACAAAGTGGCGTGCACGTCATCAAGGTGGGTGTGTTGAAAAATTTACATTGTTGCCAAACTTTTTGTAAAATAATAAAATTTATTATTTACATATCTAGGTTTATAAGCAATATTAACCTCAAATGAGAACAAAAATAATAGTATAATAAAATTATAGATCTGTACTTGCATAATCATTAAGTATGACAATTATTGATCAGATGACACTATGAAACTACCATATTTAATTGATAGCTTAAAGGTACTGAATAAAAATCCAAATGGGGTCCTCCAAATTTTATGCATGGTATTTATTTTACAGAATTCATACAGAAAAATGCATTCTAAAATTAGGTAAGCTACTGGTGTAAGCTTTTTCTGTACTATACAGTTAGTCGGAGTTTCTTTCTTCAGCGCTGTCTGAATCTGAATCTTCATCACTCTCAAAGTTGATTATTAAAGGTTCGATGTCTGGTCGATCAAAAATTCGTTCTCTTTCATACCATTTAAAAATTTCTTGCTCAGTATGTCGAACACTATTTTTCCACATGTCTGGGGTAACCGTTTGTAGAGCCTCGTTCCACATATCCAAACAGTCTTTTTCACTGTTACCATCTCTACCAATATGTCTGTTATAGTGACCGTTTGCTATGCCCCAAATTAACTCAATAGGGTTAAATATACAATGGTAAGGAGGCAGACGAAGAACTTTGTGCCCATGTTGTTCCGCCAATTCATCAATCACGTATATTTTAGGTGGTTTGTTTCTAAAAAAGCAGTTATTTTAAGAATAGGAATAAACAAAAGAAATATAAACTGTCGACCAAAATATATATATACGTAATTAAGAAGCATTATGTACCGAGCAACAATACTCAATAGCTCTGTTTTAAAGATTGTGTTTAAAAATGGTATGTTTTGATTTGTCAACCAGTCTTGGATATTTTTTTTTGTCCATGCATTGTTGGGCACTTTGTTCAATACCTATCATGCTGTGATAAGGGGCGTTATCCAGTATAATCATAGATGGACTCTCCAATTTTTCTAATAACTGATGTTGAAACCATTTCAAAAAATTGTCCTAGTTCATCTCTCCATGGTAATCGCTCAATTTTGTTTTCGAAGAAAATATCGCTTCACTACCCTCAATAAACCCATTTTCATTTCCAGCATGTAATATAATGTATCTAAAATATATCAGTTTTAAATTTTATAGTGCAAATTGTGTAAAAGTACATACCTTTTACCATCTGTTTTAATAGCTTTCACGCTTTTTTGGTTTCCATTTTGCCAAGAGCGACCTATGGTCCCATTTTGAAATATCCAAGTTTCATCGAGGAAGACAAACTGGTATAAGGCCTCAACCTTGGCTTGATTGTATTGCCTTAGAAATTCCACCCTTTTCAAAGCTCCATGAGCCCTCGTCGCGGATTGTCCTTAAGCCACTTAAATCCAAGATCTCTAAGCAACCGCCTTAAAGACGTGGCACTACCATCAAATAATGCCCTATCTCTTAATCGAGACCATAAAGTTTGTATCGTAACTTGTTCTTCTGAAACCATGTGTAATATGACATTATAATTTAGTTAACAAATTAATGCAAATTTCTGATAAGTTATTATAATAAGATCTTACTTTTGTGATACATATTATAGATCACTTCTCGAATGGCACTTGTATCCAATGTCGCTGTGTTGGTTACACGTTTAATATAACTCCGCTTTTTCTTGGGCGATTCTAAATTTGCATCACTTTTCACACCCTCGGAAATACGACTAACTGTCCTTAAACTAATTTTTAAAGCAGCAGCAACACGCTACAAAAAATGAAATAAAATTTCACTATTATTAATATACATTACATATAATTATTAGTAACCTACCTCTTGAACAGCATTTAAAGGCAACAAAAGCCCGTTGTTGTCCCTTTCTTGCTCAAAGTAGTGCATTAACGAGGCCACGAGTTCCTTACACCGACTATTTAACTGTTTGGGCATCTTTATATACCAAAATTGCCTTTATCTACTCGTAAAATGAATAATTTTGTTTTGAAACAAACAGTTGTTGATTTACAGTATGCGGGGCCAAAGGATTTATAAAGATTTGAAATGCCACAAATTGATTCAGTGTCAAAATTAATACAAATGTCAGTTCCCAGTTTAAATAAGTTTCAAGGTGACAATGTGTCAACGCTGCGAAATCGGTTTAGTGCGTTTACATGTCGATAAGTGATTGGAGCGTTTGCAAAACATTTTATTTCGCATAATGCGTCTAAATTTATCAGAAAGCAACTTATGTGATATTTTAATAACAATGTTTATATGACTATTAACCATAATAAGAGAGTAATGACCATTTTACAATTTATATATCACATTAATATGAAACTGCAATAGAGCAATTGTTTGTGATAGAAACCTAGGCATTAGGTCGGGGAATTTTTATCGTGATGACGTGCACGCCACTTTGTTTGGCGTTGACTTATATAAAAGAAGGACTGAACGAGCTGATACGCCTAGAAAGAGCTTGTTATCTAATAATTTTTGACACAGAAGGTATCAATGCAACTTCAAAACAATATGACATTCCCTATAAGACCATCGTTATGTGGCGAAACTAAAGGAGAAATTGGAACGTAATCCGAACTTGACGAGAGCAGAATTAACTTTGGACGCAGTGGGATATATTAAAAATAGGCAAGTTTATGAGACCCAGTTCGCCATAAAAAGTAACAAAGCTATGCCTGATTCATGGAGAACAAAATTGTTAGCTGGCGAAGATTGGTTAGGCTCGTTTCTTAAACGTCATCCTTCTTAATCCATAAGGACACCTCAAGCAACAAGCCTTTCAATAGCTACATCATGCAACAAACATAACGTCAGTATGTTCTTCGCTAATTTAACAGCTGTTTACCGACGTTTGATATCCGGGATTTCAGCATTGAATGAAAACATTTTTCCTGACTCCGAGTTTAGTGGTTCTTATGTGACAGAAATGCCGATGCTCACTTCCCCTGATGGTGATAATCCTTCAGTATGTGACGTGATCACAGTGCCTGCTCCATCGACAGGTTGTCTATCGTCGAAGAGGTTCCAATTTCTGATCACCATACACTAACTGAAACTCACTCTCCGGCACAGCAATGTTTATCTGTAAATACAGACCAGATTACTACCACAACACCCTCTACTACAACATCTTAGAGGACTGAATGTGAGTCACCTTCTCCTTTTGACGAAACATCCATTTCTGTATTTGAACCGGAACTGAGAGAAAACCTCAAAACACCAGAAAACGTTCATTCGATAGAAGTAAATGTGCCCCCATCTTTACACAATGTAAACCTTTCCTCAACTTCATCAGCAACATTTGAAGAGCTAAGACCCTTTCCAAAAGCGGCGCCACTTTTAATAGTAATAATAATAATAATAGCTTTATTGTTCAACAGTTTTCCATTTATAGGACAATTTATGAACATAATACAAGAGCAAAAAAAAACGAAAAGAAAACCACAAATGCAACTCAGGCATAAATTTGTAACATGAGCTATTGGTCCGAATAAGCCTTAGCTGCCTTTAGCAGGTAATTAACATTTGTCGTAAATATATCACAGTAACATCCAATTCTGTTTAAGTTAGAGCACATTACATATAACGGTGACTTGAGAAGAATGTTTGTCCTAGCTCTAGGAAGCCTGAATATTTTATGATTGCGAGATGCAAACGTTGGAGTACGAAACTTGATCTGTTCCAGGATCAAGGGGCAATCAATTAAATTGTTGATCATTTTGTAGCCAAATATTATTGAGGCACAGTACCAGTTTCTATTAGAAAATAGACGGAATATTCGGAAACGCAAAAGTAAAGGAAAAGGAACGGATAAAGTTGATGAGATTGCTGATGACACCGTCGATGAAAATGACGGTAATGCTGTAGATTCAGATGACGAGAACGGATTCAGTGCATAACTTGTAAGTTATGGGCTCATTCCAAATGTGTAGGAGGTGATCTAATGTTTTTTGAATGCAAACATTGCGCTTCTGATATCGAAGACTTATATTATAAGCTATAAAGGAACTGTTTAATTGATGAAACTAATAAATATTTAAATAAAAACTGGGAGTTGATGGTGTTGTTAAAGGCTTATTGAAAGATAATTTCTGTAACTGATTAAAATTGTTTTTGAATAAAAAGTTCTGTTACATTATAAAAAAAGTTTCATAACTTAACTCTTCTCATAATTTGTCACTTATTGATACATAAGTATACTTACCCCGGGCATATAGTCAATCTACCCCGGAGCCGGGGTAAATTGACTAAGCATTGGTGTTCTGTAAAATGCGTTAAATTATGATCATTAT